TAGTTGGAAAGTTAGGTAATATTTCACTTAACCATACTGTTTCTTTGGCTTGCAAGCCACCATTATTTTCCAACCATTCTATGAACCATACTATATCAGATTAGAATGAGGTTTTAAATTGTTATTGTATGATAAAACAATATTAAAAGAATGTAAGTTAAGTGTAGATAAGTGTATATGATACACTTTATGTTTACAAAAAGAAGGAAATTGTTTGTTTAGTTATCATGTGTGTTCGCATTATTTATTAATTAAAGATCATTAAAAGCATCTGTTTTAATGTAATAAGAAGCACTGTAGATATTACAATTTGATTATTTCATTACATTGACTTATGTGTGTGTTTGATTACATGTTAACCTATGTTTGCCACTTTTAGAGTAAAAATGTTTGCGGAGAGGTCCAAATCATGTAAAGATCATCATAAGATCAATTAATTTGTGAAAAATCCATTTCTTGGCACAGTGCATTTAAAATTGTCACATTTATACATATATGGATGTAAGTCAATAAAATATACATATTAACTCAATAGCTCTTATCAATTATTTTTTTGCTTCTTAGGAATTGTTGATTTTAAAGTTTTTAATTATTTTTAAAAAATAAAACCATCAGATTTTAGGCTACAAAACTAAAACCAATTGTTAATACCTAAAAACTCTTCAGTAATATTAAAGACAAATCAAATACCTACACAATGATATATAACACATGTGTGTACTGATGTTCAATCTATACTTATGGTCAAAAGTTACAAGCATACTGCCGAACACTGAAAATATCACTAAAACCCTCAGTCTGTTAAGAGTTAATGCCTGAATTATGTTCCAAGCGTGTAACAAATTATTTGTGCTGATTTTCTCTCATCATACTGACACTGAATTTGAGGTATAGAGTTGTTTTTGAATTTTGACTTATTTTTTATGATAATTACGGTACGTCGCGAAAACGCGACATCAGGCACTTATGGACCAAACAGTAATTTATTTATTTTTTAGTCCGGGTCATTTTAACATTTTTACTGTCACATGTTTCTCTAAATATCCATGCACAAACAATAAAATATCACAAACTGAACATACGGGCAAGCAAGGAGATGTAGAATCACTTGCAAAACTCATGAAAACTATATTTTATTAGCTCAGGCATAGAGTTACATAACTCTGCTGCACCTGCTCACTGACTAACTCTTATGAATAGGTATTTTGATGTCTTGCTGTTGTAATTCTACTACACTACAGTAATACACTACATATGGAAGGACTACCTTCAATGTGTAGAGCCTTAGTTGTCCCCGGTTACGTAATTTTCGTGAACTCTTATTCAAGGTCAACTAACAAAGACGCATATTTCTCATTTGACCTATATTTGCTATACACACAAAGCACGTGAACAAATACTGTCCTAAATGACAGTGTTCAGCCATTGTATATTCGTCCATGCTCAATGCAGCTGCTGTGGGTACTTAGTGTTACTGCTGTGGGTACTCAGTGCCACCGGTGTGGGTACTCACTGCTATTGTTGATGGTACTATATGTTTCCAATTCGTGCTACGGCTATTGTTCTCGACTGATTCTGATATTGATTACCAATGACAGTGCTGTAGCTACATATTGCCACTGCTTTAGGTACTCGGTGCTAAAACAGTGGGTACTGAGTGTTGAAGCCATGTGTACTGAGTGCTGAAGCTGTGGGTACTCACTGTTGAAGCTGTGGGTACTCAGTGTTACTGCAGTCGGTTCTTGGTGTCACTGCTGTGGGTACTCAGCGCTGGAGCTGTTGGTAATCGATAACGTTGATGTGGGTACTCAGCCTTAGCAGTGGGTACTCAGTAGCACTGCTGTGAGTGCTTAGTGCTCAAACTGTGGTTGCTCAGTGTCACTGATGTTGGTACTCAGTGCTGAAGATGTGGGTACTCAATAACACTGCTGTAGGTACTAAATGCCAGTATAATGCCACTAATGTGGTTATTCAATAGCACTGCAAAGGGTATGTGTGTCAGCACTCAACCTTACTGTATTTATTACGACGTGTAGGTCTATGCTCAATGTAATTATTGTCAAGGTCACTGTGAAGACCTTTATTTGGTGGTATCCAGGATATTGGTCCACCACCTCACTTCCTGTTGTCTATTTTGTTTTTTATGTTCTCCTAATATTATACAATACTATTTCAAAGCTAAATAAGTTACATTGTAACCAGCAGCATGATCACATTATTCAAGCGTCACTCTCTCTCCATATGCCAATGTCAATGAAACAGGTGAACTCTACTTCACCTACCACATGGACCGTAACGTTCTAAAGTGCACTTTTATATATAGGCAAAGACTATATTGTAAATCCTTTACTTATTTGTAATCATACTTGAATGAATGACAGCTTGGCGATGCATCGTATTTCGTTATACCTGCTTGTCACCCAAGTTCCATTTGATGTCTTATTGCCGGATGTCGCGAAAACGCGACAAACCGTAATTAGCAGATAACTTCCAAAATTATTCTCATATGTGATTTATATTGTTTATATACATAAAAGAATGAATAATAAAGCTATTAGTATTTTTTGTAGCAAAAACGGATCACCTATTTAGTAATAATAATCAATGTAAGTAGGCTGAATTCACGAAGTCAAAAAAATTATGATGCGCGTGAGTCAAGAGAGTGTGACGTCATAAATTTCGACTTGACAACGTGACCGCTGGTACCGATACAACCGTCTGGATGTACCCAATACACAACGACCGGCAGCAGTAGGATAAATATACCAATGCGCAAATGCTATGCGCTAAATCGGTATGTCGCGAAAACGCGACTGTCGGCGTTAAGGGGTTAAAGAGTGCGATACATTATGGATACAATGGGCTACTGTGTGCGGTAGAATTTGCGCCTCAACAACTATGATGAAAGCAATATAACACCGGCTTTGATTACATTTAAATTGTTTAGATTTAGAAATCAATGTCAAGCGTAAATAAATACGTGATTGCTAATGTAATTATGGAATCCTCTTAAAATATTGCGTCAGTCTGTCTTCTGAGACCGCAGCAACGCGCGGGACGGGTAAGCTGGTTTAATATATATTTCTTCTATATAAATAATTCTCTTCATGGATACCATAGAAAACACCAAGCGGTAAGCGCCCCTGGATCTAGATCTTGCAGATTTACTTAGGTTATACATCAGTGTAAATCGTTGATCCAGTAGATCTAGAGGATCTAGATCTGGACTAGCTCTCGTCAAAACAAAATGGCTGGAATCTTCAGCTACATTTCTCGTTTCGTTTCTTTTTTTTTAACCATAAAATATAGAGTCTTCGGAGTTTTGAGTTTTTTATTAATTCTCTACGGCCGCTTAACTCCAGAAGTGAGGGGCTTGCGCCCCGCTCTTCGTAATAATTTTATTTAGTATTAGTATTTAGGCCTTACGTTTAAGTCTTAAGCGCCAAGTGCAACAATGCTCAGTGAATTTTATCCATGTTCCATTAAGTTTAAGAATAATGTGTAGGCCTAATGTGTAGCTTTAGTAATTTTTAGACCTAAGCCTAAGCTTGTACATACAGATCTAGATCTAGATCTACAAACAATTTGAAATAGAAGAGATTTAAAATTGAATAGATCCAAAAGGACAGCTATGCCACGGAAATAATTATCTTTCTATTTTAGATCTAGAATCTATTAGATCTAGATCTCTAGTGCTACTGAAAAATTACTAGATCTAGATCTACATTCTAGATCTAGCTAGATCTATCATTTACTTACGAGGCACTAGGCATACTTTTAACTTTTCTCTCTAGTCAATAATGTAGATTTCTAGATTCTAGATCTAAATTTAAATCTAGATCTTGCAGATTTACTTAGGTTATACATCAGTGTAAATCGTTGATCCAGTAGATCTAGATCTAGAGGATCTAGATCTGGACTAGCTCTCGTCAAAACAAAATGGCTGGAATCTTCAGCTACATTTCTCGTTTCGTTTCTTTTTTTTTTAACCATAAAATATAGAGTCTTCGGAGTTTTGAGTTTTTTATTAATTCTCTACGACAGTCTCGTTTGAGAATGATTGGGTCTTATTCTCATCAACACTATTGGAGAGAAACTCAACGTTTTTGTCGTTGAGACAATACGCATGGGGTGGTTTTGCTTGACAAGCTAATTTGAAGCTTCTTCCTCTGCTGTTTGATAAATACAATGCCTTTATTTGCGTGGCTGCATGTTAATTGCATGCTTCCCCGAATTGCCGATTAAGACTTATAGTGAATGAATTAGTTCTGTGCTGTTTTTTGTACACATTAGTCCCCCGTTTAAAACCATTAGTTTTTTCATCCATGCGTAGAAGTTATAAGGAAAATAATGTGTTGTCACAGTTAAATCAAGTTCTAGACAAGTCAACGTAATCGTCCGTTCGGAACAATTTTGTGAATTGATGATTTAGATTTTGATTATATTCTACTATTTAAAAAAATTATTAAATTAGGTTAGGTTAGGTTAGGTTTTGCCTGTCGTCCCTACTGGGACATAGGCCACTGACAAGAGCTTTCTTTGTCCTGGGCTAGTCTCTCCAACTGTCCTTATGTCTCCAATCTTCTTGGTGTCTTCCAGGTTACATCTCTAGGTATTTCGGTCTGCCTCTCCTCCTCCTGCTTGTAGAGGTGAGGGCCTGTCTTGTTATGCTGGATATATTTTCTCTGGAGGATCTCTACTTCAACTGGCAGTTGATTTGTCCGTTGCCATAGAACATCATTTCTGATGGTTTTAGGCCCGAGAATTCGCGGGATCTTTCTGATTGTATTTTCTTTTTAGTTATAGCAGTTATTCTCCATGTCTCAGTTCCATTGAGTAAAACAGGTTTTACTAGTGTGTTGAAGATCCTGATTTTAATTCCAAGGGTTAAATCTCCAGAACCCTAAACATTTTTCCCTTTCAAGAAGAAAAATAGTATCAATTATCAAGGAATAAACACCCATGCATTGAGTGTATTCTGGAAAAAAAAATAAGTGACAACAAATTTCTTGGATTACTTTAGTGTTTAAAAACAATTTTCTAAAGTATCAATTGTTATTAATCTTTAGATACAATTTCAATTAGCACATATAAGGAAAAGAAATACATTTTTAAAAAGCGTTACTACTTGAGTGATCAAACTGAAAAAGAAAATAGTTTAAATTTGTTTGGACCAACATTTTTGAAGCACGTAACTACTGATTCTAGGATTATCTTGCTGATTCAAATTACCCTGAAAAATAAGTTACGTAATTAAAATGTAAATATTTTTTTACATTATGAAAACAATACTTAATTATAAACATTGTTAGTGTTAGTTTTCAAAATTTTTACAGTTCACAGCAAGCATTTTTTCAGTAACAACTTATAAAAACACTAATATTAAAAAATAAAGTTAATTTGTATACTACAAATGAAAGAAGTTTTCTGTAACTCTGAATTCAGTAAGAAAAACAAGATTCCTACAAAGCAAGTCAACAACCAGTGATTCTGCCAGATGACAGATTCTCAGCATTATCCTAATCATCTGCCCAGTAGCTTATTGTGTAAAGAGCTGACTTTTGTTTTGATGCTGGCACCCTTTCAATAGTCCTTCCACTGTATTTGCAACACACCCTGTTCACCTTGCTCCCACTTATGAGTCAACTGGCCACCAATCAGATTTCCCATCAGAAACCTCTCCAGCTGTCGAACCAAGAAGTCAACAACGCTTTAAGAAACAGAGTACAACTGATCGCCACTTTGCGTTCTTGTAAATCAACTTTATCAAAGGACCAGAAATTAACTTCCCAATCAGCCTGAGTGCTTGCAGCGCTGCACGAGAACCCCAGGCTTCTTGAGATCTGCAAGCAGTTGAATGTAGATTTTAGTTATGTCCCAGCAGCCACATCATTCTCTTTAAGATGAGCCTTGAATAAAAGCTGGATCTCCATGAAAACTGTACCTGAAAAGAGAAGGGGAAATGGAATTAGAATTAAGCAGACCATTTTACAAAATATATATTTAGCTCAACATGTTGCAAGGTATATAAAATAAATATAAAAATTAGAAATAAATTCAGCCTCCATACTTACTAAATGTACTTCCACCTGAGACATTGAACACAAGTTCCACCAACCTATTCCACTCACAAGCCTCTGTTCTCCTCAGCCGCTTTATCTCAGCCATCAACTTTCTGATTACATTAGCAATCCTCCTTACACTGAGTTAGTCTTGCCTATAAACAAATAAGATTTACAAGGAAAACAAATTTACTCAAGCTGTAGGCCCTATGTATAGGCCTATTTTTTTTACTATAAGTCTTGTATTAACTTCATATTTTAAAAAAATTACCAAGTACTGAAATTGGCCTTAATAAAGAGGTCTAAATAATCTGCTAAAATAATATAGGGCATAGCATAGGGCTTTATAAAATTTATATATAGGCCTAGTTATATATATATATATATATATATATATATATATATATATTATATACATATATAGGGGCCTATATATAGGCCTAGGCCTATTTGATGGAGAATTAAGCATGAACTAGTCTAAATCTAATCTTAACAATAACAATGTCTTACTATTTTTATAAGATCTAGACTAGATCTAGACTCCTTGGGTGAAATAGAATGCAAGTATCTGCAAAAATAAAATAATAAATATTATTGTAACTAGATCTAGGCCCTAAACAAAATTAACTAGTCTATTTCTTAATAGATCTAGATTAATTTTTACTAGATCTAGAATACTCGAATCTTAGATCTAAATACTAAATCTAGATCTAGATTCTTTTTAATTTTTTTTACTAAGTCTAGATTCTAGTTACTAGATCAGTAGATTTTTCTAAATCTATTCTTGATGATCTAGAATATAATTAGCTAGATCAAGATCTAATAGCCTATTTTTATGTAAAGATCTAAAAATAAAATAAATGTACAGTCTAGAGTCTATTCAACCGTAATAATTTAGTATTGTAGGCTACTTAAACTAATAAAATTATAATTAGAATCAAGGCCTAAGTGACAATGAATAACTAATACTAATATCAGAGAGCGGATATCAAGAGATGCGATATTTTAATTATGTAATAATTACTGGGAATTTGGCGCGAAAATAATGCTTACTCGCGGGCAACTTTTCTGTCTATGTGGAAGGTTAAGACTTAATTTTTTAACAGATATTGATTTTTTTCGACCCTTAGACTTGATTCATTAATATACTCTGACTTTAAATTTTAAGTATATAATTAATTATCCAAACTTACATTATATTTGAGCACACTAATCGATTAATTTTTAAAACATCTTATCGTAAAGATGAGGACCCCTTCGTAATTAAATGTAGACCGTGGGCTCTGCTCATTGGCATAAACTGATAGGCCCCTAAATACCTAAGGTCAAACGGAAGTTGGGAATTCAGGTTCAGGGTTCAGCCATCATTACTATGGCGACAAAGGTTACAACGAGAGCTGCGCAACTCGCTAATTAAATACAAAGAACTTTTAAAATAGGCTAAATAATTTTTTGGTAAATGTTTTTTTTAAGCGTGTAGCAATTACCGATAAGTGGACACTAAAATTTAAATGGTTTAAAGCAGCAGTTTATTATAAATAAAATCAATATAGCTAATAATTTATAAAGCATTGTTTAAATCCATAGTAATCCACGAATGAACACAAAATCCTGCTTTGAACTTGAGCCGGGTGCTCCGTGACATTACTCAAAACTAGGTTTAAGTGCGCGGGTCATCACGATTCATATGCGTTCGTTTTTAATTCTGCGATCCAATACCAAACATTAAGTGTTAAATTATAAAAGTATTACGGTAAAAAATAGACGCCCGTTCTGAATATATAATTTTGCTGGCTGTAAAATAATTTTTTCATGTTAAAGCATTTTAAACTTTTAACTGTAGGCCTATCATTTTTAGCATTAACCATTCATTTCATGATTTAATTTTGTGAAAGCTTTTTATGAAAAATAAATCTTACAAGGTGGGCTCTGATGTGTAGAGAGCATAAATAATGAGGAAATTGAATTATTTTATCAAATGCTTATTTTGCAAAATAACAGTATGTAGCAGTTTTGCTACAGTATGCAACGGTCAGTAAAAAAAAAAATTTAAAATAGAAAAAAAATAATTATTCATTTATCATTGAAAATTTATTGAGTAACTAGCGTAACCGTTCCCCGCGCGTTACCGCGGGAATAGAAGTAAACTTGACAAAATGTATTAGAAGGATTTCAGCAACGCGATAACAATCATATGTTCTTAGACGCGTGAACGTCGTTTCTAAAAGTAAGTAAATGTAAATGCCTGCGCTTGGATCATAAATATCGAGACACAGGTTTACCTACACTACCGCATGAAAACATTAATCACTCACCGAAATCATATGGTAGAACACACTTCGGTGACCGCCCATGTGTCAGAGACGTAGAGGGGCGCTCTCAGGGCCCCCACCCCCGATTACACTACCGCATACGACCCCTGGCTCCTTAAAACTAACAGGCGCCATCGTGCCAAATAGCATCCTGTTAATAATGATGCTGATTTCGTCATTCGCTAAGGTCACACAAATGAACAGGATTTTTTTCTTTAACACGTAAAAAAAGTATTTGACGTGTTTTAAACATCAGCGTGACTGATCAATATGCTAGCGTGTCTAATGGTCTATTATTAGATGCTCGATCTCAATTTCTGACTGGATTGTCTAATAATAGATGCTTATTGCATCAATAGGCTCCTCATATATGCAAAAAGTTATTTTTTCCATCTTTGGCAAGGTGACGAAACTGTACAGAAGGATTTCCTCGCGTTACAAAGTTATTTTTACAAGCCTGTTGTAGTTTTAGTGCTGAATATAGTAGTACCCCTTACTCGCTATGTGGGACGCTCGATTAACGGATGCCAAGTGCCAACATCGTCGCTCTAAAACTCTGGGCGCCAAACGGTGTATTGACGAAAGTTGTACCCTATATGGCGCTGCCCATATGAAACTTTAGTTTTCTTTTTCGCAGAAATATTCTCGGGAGTATTCTCATCTACTCCCTAAAGTTTCATGGCACTCGGATAAACCGCATCCGAGTTTTATTTTTATATACCGTGTATAGAGAGAAAAAATCGCTCCCCCGCCCCCCGGGGGGCGCCGCCCTAGCAATATTAAACAATATTTTTTTGCAGAACCCTACCATTGAGTAATCTAATCATCTCCCTAAAGTTTTATGGTACACGGATGAACGGTGTGAAACCGAAATAGACTTTGATTTTTATAAACCGTATATAGAGAAAAATTGCAGCCTCCCGTGGCGCCGCCCTTGCGAAATTAAAAAAGGATTATTTTTTTTACAGAACCCTTTCCGTGTATTGTTCTAATCAACTCCCATAAAGTCTCATGGCTATCGGATAACGGTGTCACATCAAAATCGACTTTTAATTTTATAAAACCGTATATAGAGAAAAATCGCACCCTCCCGTGGCGCCGCCCTTGCGAAATTAAAAATGATTTTTTACAGAACCTTTCCCTACAGTGTTATAATGAACTCCCCAAAGTCTCATGACTATCAGATGTCAAACCAAAATCGACTTTTATCTTTATAAACCGTATATAGAGAAAAAACGAATTGCGCCCCTCCGGGGCGCCACCCCGGCGAATTTGAATTTTTTTTTCCGCAGAAACCTCCCCAGGAATATTCTCAACAACTTCCCAAAGTTTCCCAAATCTGAAGCATCAGAAAAAATAATTTACCATTTATATTTTTTTTAACTATATAGCTATTACCAGTTACTTCATATTTCTTAGTAATTCATTTGTTTTAGTTAACCACGCTAAACTAGCATCTATTTACACCTTATGAGTGTACATCTTTTAACCTTAGGCCTACAGCTTATGAATATGTTTATCAGAAGTCTACCGCTTTACTTGCTCCGAACTAATCCCTTTATTCTCTCTACATCACTTTCTAAGTGTTCAATTTCAGTTACAGTATCACCTTCAACATAAGGTAAATAAATAGATGAATAATTAAAACTTAGTGACCAAAGAAATTTGCAGTCTCTTTCTTTTGTGAGAATCCTTATACATCCTGTAAAAAAAAGAAACTATATATTATTTCTAGATTTATTTACTTTATCTTCATTTTAAATTATATTTCAAATAAAAATAATGTATCACTGCTACTTTTTATATATTAGAGGATTATTATTTTATTTGCAAGTTTGTAAGAATGTCAATCAAATATTATTTTGACATTTTTTAAAAACAATTACCACTACAATATTTACTATATAATCATATAAATATATGATTGTAAGATAAATAATCAAATATTACACAAACTTCACTTTCATTTACATTTAGAACAGTTTTACGACAAAATTATCGCTCGCTATAAAAAAGAGATACTGTAAAATAAATAAAACAATTACTATTATAAACATAAGTAAACCACCATTGCCTATAGTAATTATTATTTTTTGTGTACCGGTATGAAGTAAACATTAAGTAGACTTAGTATGTAGGCCTATGCCTAATTTTTTTCCATAATAATTACGATATTAATTTCTAAGCTTATTAGACCCAAACACTAATACTATATTATTATTGTGTACATTATGACACATTTTTTTTCTACAATAGCAGCACTACACTGTACACACTTTATTATAGGCTTAATATAGTAGCACACTGATCATCTGTATGTAGGCCTATATAGTACTGCTAAATCTAAGTAAAATTAGTATACAATAGCCTTATGCTTGACTATTTTTACTATTGTACCAGATTTCTTCTAGAATTTACATATTATTATTGTAAAAATATGAAAGAAAAACAAAACTAAGCTAGTGTAAGTATAAACTGTTGACTAGAGTCTACCTACTAGACCTTAGGAATTGTTCTATCAACTACAGAAAAGTCACATTGCTTGGAGTATCAAAACTGCTACATACCGTAATTGGACATTTTCAGCACAAATATAGAAATAATATGCAAACAACTTATTTAGGTAAAATTACACACCTGAGATTGGTAAATATTTTTTTCAAGAAGAAAAACTAGCATGTGAATTTGTATTCTTTTCTCAGAAATATCGATCACAGCTGTTCGACAAGTGTAAAAAAAAAAAACCTATAGTCTGTTTCGGATATGAATTTGGGTCAAAAGTGATCAAGTATGGAATATTACAAACTCTGATTTTAACATTTGTGTAGATTCAATGGGGGTTATTTCACTTTGTAGCGAAATTGCTACAACATGAAATGGAGGGTTAAATTATATTTTGCAGCCTGCAAATTAATATCATCTTAAAGGGAGCCCATTCTACTTTCTATATTAGTTTTTAGTAAATGTATTATGGTATCAAATCTTCGAACGTTGGCTCAACCCGACCAAAAAATTTTGCGCGCAGCGAGGCCTTTTTTTTTTTGCTTATTTAAGAATACCTACTCAAAGTGACAGTTTTATTGCTAAAAATGAAAAAAAAACAAGCTTTGAGAACTAAGCCTATGGAAAATGAAAACAAAAATTAGTCCCGACGAGTTTAGAAATGTTAAAAAGACATTTTAAAACCTGTATATTTTAGTACATTTTTTACTGGAGCAATTCCATTCCATAGATTGGAATGTCCCATGTTGCTTTTTATACTCTTTAGAGGGTTTAGCTATTATTTTAAACCATTTAAACTAATTCTGTGGCTAATTCTGTAACTCACAACTCATAATTTAATCTTAAAAATACTTAAATAGTACTAGATCTAGTACTATTTATTTTTTAAAAGACTGCTATTATTTAGTAACATTGCCACAGACTTCTTTTATTTCCTTATCTATTATTATTTTTACTGTACCTATATTATTTATTACAATTTATGCAATATTTATAGCTAAACATCCCCATACACACATTAGTAATTAGACTTTCTAACATTTAATTTTGTTCTTGTTTCAGAATGGTCCACAATTATAAACGAATAACTTCGACCACATGACAGGAGGAAGAAATTGAGTCTTTTTCCTCACCCAGTGATGAAGATTGGTTGCCCCCATGCAACATTTCCAATGGGAAAATTGTTTTTTACACATTTTTAAAGACATGAATTAAATACATGTTTTAGGAATTATCTCTATTTTTGTTTGCCATCATATTAGGTAATGCATGTCTAGTTATACCCTCAACATTATATTGTGGTAGTATTAATTTTAGATTTTTTATAATTTTTTAAAGAAAAGTAGTGTATGGAATTACCCCGGGTTACCCTACATATTAAAATTAAAGTGGTCGAAATAGATAATCTTTGGATGTCGTTAGATAACCGAGCATACCTGGCGCATAATAAACCTAAACATTAACAAGAATTTAATATATTTCTCACAGATACGAAGAAAGGCTTAATAACAATAATAGTAATAATAATATTAAGATCTAGAATCTAGCTCTAAACATGGCATAAACAAAATTCGGACGACAGATCTATGTTCTAGATTTAGAGTGACTGGCTCAGCTGGGTAGAATCTAGAATCTGCTTATTAAATTAAATTCAATTACAAAATTAAGATCTACATTCGATTCAAAATACACC